TATGTGCCCCGGTTATGCATGGGGTGAGCAAAAAACAGGATGCAAGAGAATACGTAGCTTGCCTTTTGGTGGGTCTTCGCTCAGATCTCAAGCTGGTTTTAGCTCATCTGGTGCTTTACAAAGAGAACCTAGGCCATTTGCATTGAGTTTTTTAAAAGCTAATCCAGACATGGAGCCCTACCTCACATTGCCTAGAGGGGTATCAGCTATACCTCACTGACTAGGCATAACAAACTTATAACGATCGATCGCCTGAGGTTCCTGTATCTTGGTGGGATCAGTCTGATATGCAAATGGTTTAGGTTCTCTTTGTAATGGCACAAGATGAGCTAAAACAGAGAAGTGATACTACCCCTTTAACTATGTAAAAATGGAGTGACATTTTAGATAAATGTTTTCAGATATGACTTAGAAATATAAATGGACATTCACGTCATTTAGGGTTAATGATCTTTATATTTTTATTCTATTTCCAGAAACATTTTTAGACTTTAACCTTTGTACTGTTAGGCTGGTAAAGTGAGATAAACATCATCTTTGTTTACATAGAAACCTCAGAATAGAACATAACACCCTGAAGTAAAACACTGTACCAAAATGTTTTTGGATTTGTTATTGTCTGCAGTTTTTGGATTTGTTAATTTCTGAGGTAACTCCACCTCTGACAGTGTCATTAGGGAATCATTAACCAGCCAAGACAAGAGTTCTGGGCTGGCTAATGTAAATTCTGTGCAAATTTTCATATACAGTGTGCCACTTATTGACTGAAAGTGGTCAGCTGATGCTCTCAGGTAATTAATTAATTAATTGCAACTGGATTGGCTTCCAGCTCTGCAGAAGCTGTAAGCATGTCACCATGGATGAAGGAACCTCGGAGTCCAGTGGGAACCTAGGTAAGAGGGCAAACAGTTTCTAAATGGTTTTCCCAACTACCGGGGACAGAGGCAGAGATACTCCTTGCATCATAGCGGTGTAGCATGGATTATTATTTATTATACAAATACATTGTAAACGTATGGTATATATTGTATAGTATGGAGTATATATATTAAATATGTATATGCATTTAGCGGTATGGTATTAATAGCCACTACAGGTGGCTGTAGTGGTTATGATGCTTGGAGTAACCCTTTAAAGGGACTCTTCAGTGCCAGGAAAACATATCTGTTTTCCTGACACTGCAGGACCCTCTAGTGCCCCTCTCCCTCCCACCCTCCATCCCAAGTTGCTGAATTGGTTTAAACCCCTTGAGTGACTTATCGGAGTCCAGCTCCGATGTCCCTCGGCGCTGGGTCAGGCTCCGCCTACGCTTCTCCACCTCCGATGTCAGCGGGCAGGGAAGACCTATTGCGCATGTGGGGCCGGCGGCGGGGGGAAGACCTAATGCGCATTCGCATTAGACCTCCCCATAGGAAAGCATTGAATAATGCTTTCAATGCTTTCCTATGGGGATTTCGGCGACGCTGGAGGTCCTCACATAGCGTGAGGACGTCCAGCTTTGTATAACACACTTTTCGTGTTCTAGACAGCCACTAGAGGAGGATTTAACCCTGCAAGATAAATATTGCAGTTTATGAAAATTGCAATGATTACACTTGCAGGATTAAGGGTAGTGGGAGTTGGCACCCAGACCACTCCAATGGGCAGAAGTGGTCTGGGTTGCAGGAGTGCCCCTTTAATTCAAGTACTGCATGTATCCCATTTTCAGATTGTAATAAAACGTGTTTGAATTCTGTATTCATAGTAAACATACAAACATAGAATGTGACGGCAGATAAGAACCATTCGGCCCATCTAGTCTGCCCAATTTTTGAAATACTTTTAATTTGTCCCTGGCCTTATCTTAAGTCTAGGATAGCCTTATGCCTATCCCACACCTGCTTAAACTCCTTCACTGTGTTAACCTCTACCACTTCAGCTGGAAGGCTATTCCATGCGTCCTCTATCCTCTCTGTAAAGTAATACTTCCTGAAATGATTTTTAAGCCTTTGCCCCTCTAATTTAAGACTATGTCCTCTTGTGGTAGTTTTTCTTCTTTTACAGGACCACTATAGTGTCAGGAAAACAAACTTGTTTTCCTGACACTTTATAACCCTTAGGTCCCCCCCACCCTCAAAGTCCCCCTCCCTTGGGGCTGAAGGGGTTAAAACCCCTTCAGTTACTTACCTTAATCCAACGCCGGGCTCCCTCAGCGCCGATGACCTCTCCTCCCCCGCTGACGTCAGCTCCCGAGTGGAGCAGCATGCATTTAAGCAGTCCATAGTAAAGCATTACTCAATGCTTTCCTTTGGACGTTCTGCACGCTGGATGCTAATTTTGTATCCAGCGTCGCAGATGCGCCTCTAGCGGCTGTCAGGACAGCCACTAGAGGTTAGTTTAACCCTGCTATGTAAACTCGGGGGACCTGGCACCCAGACCACTTCATTGAGCTGAAGTGGTCTGGGTGATTATAGTGTCCCTTTAAATATAGTCTCATCTTTTACTGTGTTGATTCCCTTTATGTATTTAAATGTTTCTATCATATCCCCCCGTCTCGTCTTTCCTCCAAGCTATACATGTTAAGTTCTTTTAAGCTTTCCTGGTAAGTTTTATCCTGCAATCCATAAACCAGTTTAGTAGCCCTTCGCTGAACTCTTTCTAAAGTATCAATATCCTTCTGAAGATACAGTCTCCAGTACTGCGTACAATACTCCAAGTGAGGTCTCAGCAGTGTTCTGTACAGGGCATGACTTCTCTCTTTCTACTGCTAATACCTCTCCCTATACAACCAAGCATTCTGCTAGCATTTCCTGCTGCTCTATTACATTGTCTTATTACATTGTCTTCCTACCTTTAATCATCTGAAATAATTACTCCTAAATCACTTTCCTCAGATGTTGAGTTTAGTAGAGTATCAAATATTCTGTACTCTGCCATTGGGTTTTTTACGCCCAAGATGCTTTATCTTGCACTTATCCACATTAAATGTCAGTTGCCACAGCTCTGACCATTTTTCTAATTTATTTAAATCATTTGCCATTTGGCTTATCCCTCCTGGAACATCAACCCTGTTGCAAATTTTAGTATCATCAGCAAAAAGACATACCTTACCATCAAGACCTTCTGCAATATCACTAATAAAAATATTAAACAGAATGGGTACCACAGATCCCTGAGGTACCCCACTGGTAACTAGACCTTGCTTCGAATATACTCCGTTGACTTCAACCCTCTGTTGCCTGTCACTCAGCCACTGCCTTACCTATTCAACATTATTGGAATCCAAACTTAAAGATTGCAGTTTATTGATGAGCCAATTATGTGGAACAGTGTCAAAGGCCTTATTGAAATCTAGGTAAGCAATGTCTACTGCACCACCCTGATCTATTATTTCAGTTACCCAATCAAAAAAATAAAAAAGATTAGTTTATCATGATCTCCCTGAAGTAAACCCATGTTGTCTCTGATCTTGAAATCCATGTGTTTTTAGATGTTCAACAATCCTATCCTTTAACATGGTTTCCATCACTTTCCCCACTACTGAAGTAAGGCTTGCCGGCCTATAGTTGCACGACTCCTCCCTACTACATTTCTTGTGAATGGGCACAAAATTCGCTAATTGAAAACCCTGAGACATGAAACAAAAAATCGTAATAAAAATTATTTTTATTTTATTTAACTTGGTTAGAAGACTTGAATGAATGAAATAATTTCAAAATAAATATGAACTGAAATTTTATGAAATATGTAGCATTTTATTTAACATAGCTGAGGAGTTAATCTTTGTAACAAAAGTAATACAAAGATAAAGCTTCATAGTAAGTAAAATCATATCAATTATTTAAGGACATAGATATTTATATTAAAAATAAGTATGCATGTTAATTTCTTGTAACATTTTGTATCAAATAGGGACCTTGAAATCACTTAAAGGGGTACTCCATCATCCATGACCACTTCTGCTTTTAGAAATGTTCCTGGAGGACGGAACCTTTCAAACACTGCACAACCAGACTTATCTGTACCTGTGTGCGGGGGGCAAGTTACATTGGAACTCTGTTCCGGACTGCCTAATGTTAGTCCTGTGCATATGTTATGTCTGTCAGCGCGCACTGCATGCTGGCAACGGAAGTAATGTGATTATCCCCTTGCAGGCAGAGCCCTATGTCTTCTGTCTTTCCTCCCTCCCATCTCCTGATCCTTTCAGTTCAATTCTTCTAAGTTCCTTCCCGCCCAACTCACTCTCCCCCTCCTATTGCTCAGAGTGCGTTCATGCTCTCTGAAGTCCCATCAAAGGCTTTTTCTATAAGAAACCTTTGATTGGACCACACGTCTGCTGCCAAGACATCAGGAGTGGGTGTGGATAGCAGCGACTGAGCTTCACCTGGTGCTGGGTTTCAGGTAAGTAAAACGTATCTGAAACCAATTTTTTTTAGAGGAAGGGCCCTGTTGCATTAAAAAAAAAAAAAAAAACTTTAAATTGCAGCAAAATTTCAAGCTCAGATAATTAAAATATTTTTTCCTTACATGTCAAATGAGTAGAAAATATATGAAAATTAATTATTTCCAGCTATTTTTGTTTGTGCCAGTAGCCTAAAGGTCAGAGCAAAAAGAAGTAAATTTTTATACTTTTTTTGAGTGCCAGAGAACAGCAGAATCCCTTGCAGTTTGTCAAAATCCAAATGTCTGTAAATGTTATTGTCAAGTTTTATATCGCTGTGTTATCTGAGCAGCATCCATAAAAGAACCCAGTGTATGGGTGCCACTGAGTGTTATTTAGCCCGGAGTTGTAGACAATCTTCCAATTTTATCTGTCAGAGCCCCATCTTGCCATGCTGTGTTTATACACACATATATAGCATATTGCTCATTCATGCTATAAAAGTCTATTTTAGGAGAAAACTTCTGCTGAAACTAGATACCAGAGGAACAGCTTTGCTAGTGACATAATTGTCATTAAAGTTGGTATTTCAGAATTCTCTTTGCAGATTCATTTCTCAATGCTTGATTATGGCTGTAATTTACTGAGATACTGCAACCTGTAGCATGTTGTTCATTGACTGTAATCCGTTTAATGCAAGTGGTTGAGGATATAAACCTGCAGACATGTTGGCTGGACTGACAGATCCAGAGTCACTTTGGGCTGAGCCCACACTTCCATCAAACTGTCCTATTTTCTTAATCAGTTTTCTTTCCTTGGCACGTCGATTCTGGAACCAAATTTTTACCTACAATATTAAGATGAGAAAAAATATAGGTGTGTATTAACAGTTTTTATGTTTTAGGTGAAAAATGCTACTTTGATACATTCACAGTATAAAAATGTTAATATAATTTAATATGGCAGTAGCAAATTCCTCATTGTTGAGTAGATTAAGTAAGGAATATAATGGAACATATTCTGACACAAGTGAGAGCCTACTTGCTAAGTAATACCTTAGAACTGGCAATATTGTGGCAAACTTGGAGATTTGTTTCGGACTGAACTACAATTCAGCGGAATTTGGACCGATCAGGTGTTGTGCAGAATTCCTGAATTCAGAAGCCAATATATATTAAAATTATAGACTCACCTAAATGCCAAACATGTTCAGGCAGGGGGTGAAGGGTGGAGGAATTTTCAGATTGCGTTATAAAAATACTTTTTTTTTTTTTTTTTACTCCTCCTGGTTTTTACTTTATTTTTCTATTATATATTAATTATATATGTAATATAAAAATGTTTTTATATTGCTCCATCTGTTTTTCTTTCTATTGGCTTTTTTTTCTCATGTGATCTGTGAACCAAAAAGTGGTAAAATATGATACAAAATATTATATTATGTATATAGTTAGCAGCACACATATTGGCTCATTTTCATCTCTTTTTTTTGTTTGTTCTTCGAATTTGGTTCCTTAATCAACATTTGGTGAGTGTTGCAAAAAAGTTTCTGTCTTTCGAAAAAATATTTGTTTGATAGAATTGCAATTCCAGAGGTCTAAATGCCTTTTAATTCACAACAGGATGAATTGGTCATCTGGAATTTACTTGTGGAGTCTTATTTAATAGGTAAATCCCATGTGATCATTTATCCATGTGCGGATAAAAAGGTATTTCATTTGAAACATCTGAAATTTAACTTTTGGACAAGCCTAGTTTCTATTCACTTGCGCTCACTTCTGCTAATGTCTGCACTGCACATTTGCCATCAACCTTCATAAACTAAAACAGAAAAAAATGCACAGAGAAATGAAATAAAAACAGAGGGTGAAGTTATAGTGCATTTTTTTTAATTAAAACAAACACAAAACTATCAGAAATTTTACCATCAGGCAAAGAAAAAAGACAATTATTGTCCTTGAGTGGAATTATCTCATATATATGCATTCATGGACTTCACACCATACCTGCCTGTCTGACAGTCCCAGACTTATTGCAATTTCAGACTTCCTTCGTATTGTGATGTATCTGTTGGACAGGAATTCTTTCTCAAGTTCTAGTCTCTGATGATCTGTGTATACAACTCTGTATTTTTCCTTTGTTCTGGTTTTGCCTAATAAATGAAAGAGACATTAAAAAGTGTTCCAGATCATTTGACTTAAACTCTTTTTACATAGTCCTGACACATATATGTGTGTGTGTGTGTGTGTGTGTGTGTGTGTGTGTGTGTGTGTGTGTGTGTGTGTGTGTTGATATATTTTTATAATCACAACTTTTGCCTTTGAATGAATCATCACAGGAGTTTGACATAATAATTGTGGCATTCTCAAAAACACCTGTATTCATCTGTTTGTCTAGGTCAGCCTAATGGCTATTATATGCTTTACTAAAAATTTTGTAACAGAATTTTGGGCTCTCTCTATATATAACATGATGTATACACAAACACTGTAGATGATGCATATGAAAATGTATCTATATCAGAGGCACACCTTGGGTATTTGGAACTTGCTCGAATTGGCTGTGGACCCCACCACCTGAATGTGATGTGTGTAGTATCTGTCAGGTCGGTTGAGTGTTGTGTGTATATGGTTAGTGGTTGTGTTTGATGTGTTTTGGAGGAGGTTGGCTGAGTGTAATGTGTATGGAGGGGTGCTGAGTATGGTGTGTGTGTGGTGACTGTATAGTGATATCCTCCTTTTCCCATATCTAATCTACCGTTAAATAAAATACATTTAAACTTAATTTTTTTTTTACCTTTTTCCTGCTTACCATTTTGCAGAGAGGTGGTCCAGTGGGGGTAATAATTCATGGTTAGCTATGAATTACTGCTGGGAAAATCCATCTGCACTACTAGAGGATACAGATCATTGTCTTAACACCATTTGGTCTGGAGCTTAGTGATGAGTCAGAGAGTAGGCTGGGAGCCCTGACATCTGTGCCTGGTGTTGCTTGCTGAGCCACAGCAGAGCAAAGGAAGTGTTTAAAGTGATCTGCACCCGCTAGTGGTTCATGGGACCAACAGAGATTCATTATTAACCTCCTTTAGATCACCAGGGATGATAGCCCCCACGGGACCACCAGGAAATAAGTTTTAATTTATGTAATGCTATTTGACAATATAGTAAATACAAATTATTGTTTTGCAAGATAGAAGGGCATGTAGTTGATATCATTTTATGACCGCCTCTCCCCCACCTCCCCCATAATTATGATCTGTGATGAACCATTATTGAGCTATATCAAAGACTGGGGATATTAAAATGAAAACATAGACACTATAACCACTACAGCACACTGTATTCATGACAAGTGATAGGTGGTCAGACTATTTTCTATTTGACACTTACCTGGGTCCTCTGGTCCCCTCTCTATTAGTGAGATATCTAAATGTTTATCTTCCACAGTAGATTTATAGATTTTATACATATTTGACACACTCAACCAATTGAATTCTGTCTAAATGCAGGCAGAGTTAATGCCATTTATGCAGTTGTAGGGAATTCTGTCAAAAAGTATATCCTACCTTTAAAAGGTTGTACCAAAGGAGGTGCCTAGGTAAGTGCTGTCAGAAGATGGTTTGAATACTTAACATGTGAAAGTACCTGGGGGCTCGTGGCTCTTTAACACGGTGTCACACTGTAGTGGTTATGGTTCCTATTACTATTTCATACATGTTGTTGCTTTACTTTGTTTCCCTGTTGCAGCCACAGGGTTATTCATTAAAGTCTGAACTGTTGGGAATTCAAAGGGAACTTCATATTTTAGCCTAAAATAAACAGTCTGAAAAGATAGCTGATTTAAGATTTTAGACAATACCAAAATCAGTGGTAATAGTAGTGAAAGCTCAACACACTCCTGTGGGGGATCCTCTTAACCCTCACCAAATTGGAACAATGAAATACACAAAATAGGGGTGGAGCAAAAAGCTAAAATGCTATAGAGACATACATATAAAATTGATGTATATTGAGGTAGATGTAGAATCTAAAAATACAAAAACATAGGAGAAACCAATAGTACAGATCAATTATATAATTGGAGGTTAAAAATAAATAAACTGGAAACACACAGGTGGGGCCAAAAGAATGCACTTGGCTCTGGTGTTTAGCGCCTTTGGATCATTTGTGGGAGATCCAGCACCCTCTGTATAAAGATGAATTCCAAGTGGAGGACACGACACTTCAAATAAAGTTAAAACTAATTTATTGGTTCAACTAGAAAATAAAAACGATAATAAAAACCCAACATGGTATAAGTGCTTGAAGTGAGTGGGCATCCAAGCTGTGTTTGCCAATTCAGGCTTCCTCGTTTGGAAAATGCATTATAGCTTGTGTCCATATGAAAAGTATTTAAACGGTCTGTCAGTCTAAAATTTCCCGGGCTTACTGGAATTAATGGAACACACCGTTGCGTTCCATTGGTCTTCCGTCGCCATATAATGTATTTCTTAGTTCTAACGTTAGAAGTATCGTGTGTGTAGCGTGATGACGTTTCGGAGTGTGAAGAATGTCACGTATGCAATGTGACAACGTATCGTAGTTACTTGCTTCTTGTGGAACCCAGAGTGCGTTTCATTGCTCGTTAGTGACGTCTCCTTGCGCAATAGTCCAAAAGGGGGACACAAAAAGTTTTGACTTCTTGGTATAGTGGTCTTAAAGATTCCATACGAGTATAATTATGTAATTGATCTGTACTATTGATTTAAGATTTTAAATTCACTTTTTATTCTTGGCACATTTTAGCACCAATCAACCATAGTATAGAGATTACAAATGAAAAAATTTGTGGAGCACAACTGTAATGCTAACTCTCCTTAATTCAATCACAATAACAATCTGTATATAAAAATAAAACGCTTTATTACTGTATATTAATGTATAATGAAATTATACTACCATTCTACCTTGGACTTGCAAGTGCGTACATGGTTGGAAAATGTAAATGATTGTTGGATAAAAGTACTTGTTGTAGCTACATCAACGCTTACACATTACCGTCCCTTGTTCTTCAACCTCATTGCTATATTTCCCAGTGAGATGTTGAGTCATTCATTTCACACTTGCACCAAAACACTCCTTGAACTATAACCACTACAGCACTATACTGATCTTACCATTTTTTTCCCCCTTCAACAAATATATTCAGAAAGTTGTATATTTTGTAATCTCAATTGATGTATTGACACTTAGGCCCACAAGGTACAAAGCAGTTACAAGGAGATCTTATCAGAAATGTTTTTTCACATTCAGGAACACAAACCAATTGACTTAGAATGTACAAGCCCTTAACAAATGTCAGACTTCCTTTCATCTTCAGAGAAAAGGAAGATACAGAAAATAAACAATCCATCATGCTAAGCAATACACTTGCCCTCTTTTTACACTTTAAAACAAATGTCAGACATGAGTGTGTTCTTTTTGAGCTGCAACATTTAGATTTTCAATTTTTGACCGATTCATTATTCAAGATACAGTGAAACACCATAAACATTAATAATATATTATTAAAAGAGTATTATATTGTTATTAAGGTGGCTTGTTGTTTTTAAAATGAATTGTTGAGCAAAGTGGTAAAGCTGCAACATTAATTACTTTTTACAGAAGTTTTTACAAGCTGTTAAGATCCTTAATGGTTACAACTTCCCAAGTTGTTTTAATGTCTATAGCTTATGTAAGTCACAGATGTCCATGGTACAGTTTGGCCTTATTTTATCATGGCCTCTTGCATAGTTGTTGAGGAACCTGGCAATGGCTATCTAAAATCTGGGATTTTGTTTTTAATCCTCTCACTAATTCTATGTTTATATATATATATATATATATATATATATATTGTTTAAAAAAAAAAAAAATTTCGAGGAAGTGGCTAACTGCGAAGTGTACGCTGCAGCATTTGTTGGTGCTTTATAAATAACAATAGTAATAATATGGATTTAACAGTGGTCTGAACTGAATTCATTAAAGGGACACTGTAAGCTTATTTCAACTTCCACTTTTTAAATGAATTAAAAATATGCAAAAACAATCATAATAAAAACCCTGATATTTAGACATTTGTCTGCAGTTTCTGCAGGGAGTTCTCACCAAACTAGGAAGTGAGTGAGCCAATCACGATGCTTATTTAACTCACTGTAGCACTGCTGAACTTTTTTAAGCGTTTTAATTCAGATCACTTCATTGAGCTTAAGTGGTCTGTGTGCCTATAGAGTCCCTTTAAGTATCAACGTTTGTTTTATCAGATCAGCTGAGACTGGAAGTACCCTGAGTGCCTGACACTAAGTATCAAACCACTTGTAAATGGTGTGACAAATTACTGTACGGCGCCCATAAACTCCTGGCACAGTAACCATTATGGTGTGTTGTAAAACAAATAAATGCTCTTTTTTTCTCACTGGTAATCTAGTCTCAGGCAGCAACTTTTCCTATTCTGAGTTCATCTGTTTGGATGATCTCCATGATCAGCCAAACAGATGTTTCCCATAAATATACATTGCATAAAACGCTTCTCTATGAGAAGCATTTCCAGCATTCAGATCTGGATCATGCTGTGTGTCATGATGCCTAACATGAAGATTTTCAGTTAGTAAAAGTCATCAAGAAATGTCAGTCCGACGGCCACTACAGGTGTGTTTATGGCTTAATGTAAACATTGCCATTTCTCTAGAAAGGCAGTTTTTTTACTTTTCCATGAAAAGCGGGCAGGGTCTGTGCAGCAAGAATACTTTATTTTAAAAAAAGAGTATTTGGTGCTTAGAGTGCTACTCTAAGAAAAAAAAGGCTCATTCATAGCTACACTGTTCAGCAAACATATTTAGATAAGTCATGTAGGTAAACTACAATTTATTTGTGAATGGTCTGTGACCTGAAACACCTCAATTTTATTGTCTTGTTTCTAAACATCATAAATAACTTGCAACTGTTTCTAAATACTTGTTTAACTGGTAGAGAACAATTGTTTTACAACATAGAGATTTTAATGAATATTATCTGGATATACTAAGTATGCTATTATACTATTCACACAGGTCAAAACCACTAATATATTGGACTTCAGTGTTCACAAAATATTTCTGGATACTTAAAACAGCACTATCAATTTTGATAGTAGAACATAGAATATTTATGAAAACACACTCCTGTAAAATATGTTGGCAATCCACTGACTTTCCCATGGAATCAGAAGAGATAAATGAGACAACATAAGCACTTCCTTGTCTTATGTGCTGGTCAAATTTTGCCAAAATGTGGCATTGGGCACAGCCTCTACATCTTGCTATTTTCCATCAGCAGTCATATACTACAGTAAACGGGAACGAGCGTCTTCTTAAATGAAGCCTATGGTGTCTATTGCACATGAGTAAGATGATCTATAAAGAATTCTGTGTTCTCACAGTATCCTCCATATATCAGAAGCACAGCACTGTACTGTAGTGACTTGGGCTCTTTCAAGATGAACCTACAAGCAGCTGATTCTGAGAAGGGAGAGCATCAGGTAATTATTGCTCTTCCTACGCCCCCTTGGCCGCCATCATTATGCAAGCAAACATATAAGCCTGGAGATGACTTTGCAAGAAAATGTGATATGTGCATAGCAACAAGTGACAAAACGATGCCACCAAGTGATTTCAAGTAGGCGTGTTGTTTTCTAAAAAGTTACATTTTCCAACATGGTCATCCTAGCAATACAGCGTGAGTCTAAGCACCAACACATTCTTAACTTGATCAAGGTGTTTTGGTTCATAGAGCATGCCGTGCATTCTCACTGCTCATTTCCCTGACCTTTAGGAGCTAGTCCATTTTCTGCAGCCCTATCCACATATCCCTTGGCTGTACACACTTCTTCAAAACACATGTTTATTTGGAACTCAGGAGTATGCTTTCTTTAGAATTGATTATCTCCTGCTCTTTTATATGTCCTGTATAAGAGTCTCAAACAAGAAATCAAAGCTACCAAGCCTGTAGCCTTGTCTGCATTATCAAAGAAGGGAACGTCCCTAAAATGGGTGGCAGGCTGACTGACACTCTGCGCCCTCAAGGCAAACAGTAAATGCAGCTGAAGTGCTCTATGACTGATTCTAGTGCCCAGTCCATCCCTGCATCTTGAAATCTGTCTGGCAGATCTGAACTGGTAGGCAGCTTTAAAAATGCTTTACAAGTCTCCATGACAGTACCCCAAAATGCAGGACTGTCCTTGCAAATATGTTACTTTTAACATGTATAAGTGTATCATCATTTAAAAAATAAAATAATTTGCACACTATTTCCATACCGCTTCTCTATAAAAAGCATTTAATTGGACATTGCCCATAATGAACAGTAAATGCCAGACAAAATGGTGATGGATCTGCCTGGTTGTAAAACTTGCAGGAGAGAAATCAGAAAAATAAAATTAGGGAATTAGAAAATAATAATAACAGCCTTGGTTTA